CCACTGAGGTCGGCTCCTTGCCATGGCAGCAAGTGTATCCAGCCATACATGCTCACCGTCTTTTGGATCCCAACCAGGGAGCCGTGACGCTCCAACCGACGCCAGCACAGAAGTGAGGGACTTCATTCCTCTGGACCAAGTCATCGCTCGGCCACCCCTCCTCTTCTTCCATCCACATCCCCGGTGAGCCAACAACGCACGTCGTGGAAGTCGATGGGCTGGCATGCGCAATACTTGGCCGCGCCATCGGAGCCTGGTGCGTGAAATGACGGGGCTGACCGGTTCAGTTCCTTTTCCTGTGCCGTAACCAAGGCGTCGAACACGTTCGTTACTCACGCGGCGTTCCCACCAAATGTGAGCCAAACTGCGAAGGCACCGATGGTCGAACGTAATTAGTCTCTTCATATCCGCCGATCTTAGGGGCCAGGTTTCGCAACCGTACAGTAAGGTCGAACGTACTGCTGCATTGTACACTACCCTTCAGGGCGAGAGTAATGTCGCGCCGCCGCCACAGGTGACGAAGGTTAGCAAAAGCACTTCGAGCTTTTGCTATACGGTTCGTGATCTCGTCTTCGATCCCAAGGGCGCTGATACAACTTCCTAGGTAGTTGAATTTCCGACCGACTTCTAGATGATCCCCACGAAGTGTCAGCGCAGGAGACGATCCCTGCCAATCTTGGAGGAACGCTTTGCGTTTCGATAATGCAAAGCAAAGCCCGAAGCGGCTGACATCCAGTGCTAATCTGTCCAACGCGGTTTGGCACGTCTGGGAGCTGTCACAAATGAGGGCAATGTCGTCTGCATACTCCAAATCAAGAAGTCGTTCTCCTAGGAGTAGCTCCACACCTTCCAAGTTATGTCGTGTAAATGCAATCTCTATGACTGCGTCAATAGCGAAGTTGAATAGGAAAGGTGACAGCGGGCATCCTTGTCTCACACCGCTGGAGATACTGAAAGGTGGCGACTGCTTGCCGTAAGCCCTCACTCTGTCCGAGCTACGAGCATATAATGCTCGGATAATATTTACACATTTCTCAGGCACACCTTTCCTAAGTAAACAATTCCGAAGGGTCCACCGATTAACCGAATCGAAGGCACCTTTGATGTCGAGGAACACGACAACAGTGGGCCTCCAATATGTGTGGCGGTGCTCCAACAACTGACGCAAGGTGAAGATGTGCTTGATGCAACCATGACCCCGACGAAACCCGCTTGCTCCTCACGTAAGTGGCTTTCACGAGCGCCAGTCAGTCTGTGAAGGATTATGGAGGTGAATAATTTGGAGGCGATGGAGATCAGACTGATTCCTCTATGGTTGCCGCATTCCGAACGCGAGCCACCTTTGAAGATGGGGACAATAACGGAGCTGCTCCAGTCGGTTGGGACAGTCTCCTGCTCCCACAGTTTCACTAGTAATTCATGTACAGCATCAACAAGAGCAGAGCCTCCGAATTTGAAGAGGGCTGGAGGAAGATCATCTGGTCCTGCGGCTTTGTTCAACTTCAACAGTCCGATCTCACGTTCGACTTCTGAGCGAGAAGGCGGATTAAATGGGACAGCCCACGGAGCATTGCGATCACTGGCCGGCGAAGAATGGAACAATTCTAGCCGATTAAATTGCTTTTCAAAATGCTCAGCCCAACACTCCAAACGTTTTGACAAATTGTGGATAGGCTGTCCACTCTCGTCACGTATAGTTTCACTAACACCAGGTCTCCTGCTGTCCGTTTCCCGTATCAGACGGAATAACTTCCGATGGTTGCACAAAATATTTTACTATTAGGCGCGAACTAAAGCGGAATCTGCATGCTGACAAGGAAGCCTTGTGGACCAGTCGGGCTCAAGAAATGGAGGAAGCAGGAACAGTAGGCAGTAATCGCAACCTCTTCCAAGCTGATCTGCATCACTGGTCCCAAGAAACCATATGTCACTGAAACGATCACAGACAGCGCGCATACCATGATTCACTATTAGGAACGCCGTATGGCTCGTTGGGCGGAATACTTTCGAGAGCAGTTCGGTTGTCCCGCTGTTTCTGGACCTCTTCCTACTCAGATGTTGCAGGCTGAGCCATGGTCAATTAGTTCAGAGACTCCGTCGGAGGCTGAGGTCCGAAACGCGATCACAGCCCTTAATCGTTTTCGTGCTGCTGGCCCTGATTCGTTCGCACCCGCATTGTTTAAGGATGGGAGTAAAGTCTTTTGCAAAGCACTGACCTCCCTCTTGGAGCATCTTTCGAAGGCAGAGACCATCCTAGCTAACTAGAGTGAATCAATTCTAGTGGTGGTATTCAAGTAAAGCAGCCGCACCGACTGTGCTAACCACAGGGATTTTAACCTAACGCCGGTGGTGATAAAATTACTGTCCTCAATTCTCGTTCGTCGCCTCACTGCGGAACAGGAATCCTGAGGCAGTGAACAGCAGGCATATTTCCGCCCAAGAGGGCGCTGTATAAATAGTATATTTACTCTGCCGCATGTGCCAGAGCAGCGTCACATGTATCGCAGACCGACAATAACTGTGTTCCTAGACTTCAAGATTGCGTTCCATTCAGTCGATCGATCGATCCTGTTCGAAATACTTGCGCGGAAATGTGTCCCCGTGAAATATGTGAACAATTTTCGTGCTCCATATTCGAACACTACAGGGCGCGTCAAGATCCACGGTTATTTGTCAGATGCCTTTCCGAAGACATGTGGCGTTCGTCAGAGTTGCCCAATTTCCAAATTTTTGTTCAACTTCTCCGTGGACTGCATCATGGAGTGTGCCTTTGCGTAGCCTCACGATGCAGGCGTTGAGGTGTTGCTTGGTAAAATGCTAGTTGTTCTTGATTATGCGGACAGTATTGTGTTGCTGTTGAAGGATGCCGTGGCAGCGCAAGCAACACTGAATAACCATCTCCAGATTGTTTCCCTCATTTGGCAAGCGTTTCGCACCTCCAATGGGCAGTGCTGTTACAGGACCACGACCCACTCAATGACCCTTGATGGCGAGGAACTCGAGGTGGTTCATCACCTCACCTACCATGGCAGCTGCATCGGCATCGATGGGCACATAACAAATGAAGTCACTTCACGCATTGCAAAAGCTAGACCTTCCTTTTTGAACCCACGACATCTGTGACGTCAGAAAAGGGTTTCCTCCATCTAAAAGTTCGTTTATTCAAGGTCACAGTGGGGGCTGTCCTGCTCTCTGGAAGTGAGACTTGCGGCGCCTTCAAATTTTGATCATCGTTATATGCGAAGCATTGCTGGTTTCGGATGGCACCGGCATGTCCGCAACGATGATGCGCGTAGGGGAGTATTAAGTGATGATTTTCAGACTAGTTCCTTAGAACAACAGATAGCACTGAATAAGTTGCGTTGGCTTAGGCACGTATGCCCGGTCACCGCTTACCGACGGGGACCTTGTTTTATTTGCCAGATGTAGGATGATGCAACGCTCGAGGTGGGTAAAAATTATCTTGGCAGCAAGAAGTGAAATCACTGGCGACCAAACTGGATGCCGTCGATACGTCTCGCCTTCCAGCTTGGAGTCCTCGTGACCCGCCTTGTGCTTGGCTCGAGACGTTGCAGGACATGGCTTGCAGTCGACACCAGTAGCGTATCTGCTATCGTCTCCTAGTCTCCTTCCTGTTTAAAGTGTGTTTGGTGCTGATTTATCTGCGGGGTAATGCAGATTATAACTTGGGGCAGTGAAAGCCGCAAGGAAGCTGTCTCGCTGATGTCGTCTTATCCTTTGCACGATGGCCAGCTGTTTGTGATGGTATGTTGTTGACAAGGTGTAGGCGCTTGATCCTAAGTGTTTGTTTATCAAACCGTTTTTCGCCAGGTTCCCCTTTTCTCCCTTTGATTGTTCTTCGTTCCTCAAGCTGTTGTAGTTGTACAGCAGCGAATCACCAGTTCAAGTGATTGATGTACTTATATTGTTGATCTTGATGACAGTATGATATACTCGCAAGTCTTCTCGGCAAATACGGTTGTCGCTTTACAAAATAGCTCAACCTATCCCACTATTAATGACAAAGGTATGCTATTCTTAGAGTGGACCGAACGAAATATTCGCCTAAGTTTCTTGTTCGTGGTTCACCCATCTGTGAAATAAACTACCGTTGCCATTTAGGACCAGCGAGAGCGTGTCGATAGTTAGATCTCACTTAAAACTTTTCTTTCTATGCCAAATGTGGTCAAACTTTTCGACGTTCAGCAATACACGAGTGCATTCTCGCAATCCGGCCCGAAAAGCCTATGACACAACTAACTTTCAACTAATGTTACTTGTTACAAACTCCACGCAACCACTGTTTCATATTGAATGCAAGTTCATGATTGAAATGTTGACGAAACGCACTGTACAAATGATCATTTCTCAAAAGGAACGTATCCTGCCCGTCGGGAGATATACCCATTGTTTATTTATTTAGAATTAGCCTTCAGTGAACAAGCTATGCTTGTCAGACCTAGATCCCTGGAACATTATTTACTATTTATCTGTGTGAGTTACATTCAACTACGTCTGTTGCAACATTGTGTTCTAAAAGTAAGCGTTGTTTTCTCTTCATGTGTCGTACCTTGGCATTGCTGATAACATGACCTGTTACGAAATATGGTGCTTTTAATGCGATTTCTGTGGCCTTAGCTCTAATTCGGTCCCGTTTCAATCTCTAAATAGTGTGGCAAACGATCCAGCACATTGACATATTGCTCATTATTCAGTCTGCTCCCACCATTTCTCGCTGGTGGCATGCAAATGTTTGCTAGTTGTGTTGTCCAGCATCAGTGAGATATTCCTTTCGGATCGTAGCTGCATTTTTCACTGGTCCCTTGCTGTGCGCTATTTTTTTGGTCACATTTATCTCTCCTTATATTCTACATCCTAGCTTACTTTTTGCCAGTACTTTTTCACTCCTGTGATGCTGTGATTTATGACACAATTCGGATGAGCCGGTCCTCTCTTTCTCCTTTTGCTCACCTCGACCCCATTTTCTCCACCGTTTCCAGGACGGTCAATTGACGAAAGCCGAAATCCAAGCGAGATACGATCTTCTCGTCGGAAGTGCAGTCACCAATTATGGGGAAATATTGTCGGATCACGATGAATTATAGCGCAACTCATTTTTTCTATTTCTCTGGTCCACCGCCACTTTTATGCGTGGCCTGCATCACCAGCAATATAGGTACCATTTTCACAATTCACCGATCTAACTTCTCTTATTTTTTTCTACGCGCCGACTGCACTCTCCTCTGTCCTCACGAGCTTCTTCTAGTCGGTTGCGTGTTACGTACCCGTTATATTTGTTGTACATTTTCTTGTATCTCCTTTCGCATGCAATTGGTTTTCGCTGTCCGTCTGTTACCCTCCTTCCCAATTTGACATATTCCATCATTTAGTCGGATAATGAAGACTCAAATTACAAGAATAATGCTTGCTCTCCACTCAGTATTATTGACATGCCATTTTGTGCGCATTCGTCGGCTTACTTGGAGAAAATTCTGATTCCAGCTACCCTGCCACTCAACTGACGGAATTACTATGCAATCTTTGTTCTTCACTAGGTTCTCTATTCCGCACTTATTTTGACTTGCGTCTTACGCAAAATACTTCAATTACCACGCAAAACCTGACGCTTTTCCCATGATTTTACGGGCAAGCAGGTGGCTTTTAGCACTCCGGCGATAAATACAGTTTCTGCTCAGCATCACCTGGCCTCCTGTTCTATAGGTGCTTTGAGTGCCACTTTCTGCTTTACAACACTCGCGAAAATCACTCCGCTATCCGAATTTTGTTTGTTTGAATGCTCGCCAGTAGTCTTTTCTCTCATTACACTGAGCTATTGCCTGCATATCTTATAAAATGTGTGTCGGAGCCAATACTGTTCCGGTCACAATCAGCAGTAATATTCGGTCCCACCGATGTTTTTCTTTTTCAGCTGCTAACCCCGTCTCGTCGAATGTTCCCACATCGGTTTGCACATGATTCTCCCTACGCTGTCGTGGTTCATGAATTGCCTCCTCTCGACTGGATGCTACGCTTCAGGACAGAGGTTTCGAACTTACAGTTCAACTTCTCACTGAGTCACTCTCGACATTAGAGACGCAGCGCCTCCTTTTTGCTCCGATTGATTGCCGTACGCGAATCGCGCGATAGGCCTTTTTTCACTGCAATTCTCGCTGGCATTTCATTTCCCGCTGTCACCTCTGAGCAGCGTGCTGTCTGTTCGTGATTGATTGACCACAGCTCGCTCAACAAGTATCTACGCACGCGCTAACATCGTTCTAGTCTACGTTTAACTGGTCGCCCAGTTCGAATGGCACGGTCATTAAGTTTGCTCAGTGGATATGCTATGATTTCTACCCAAGACCATCCTCAGATAAACAACACTCAATTGCGAATAGCGTCAGGGGAGCGTATCGTACCCTGTGGGGTGGGCTTGTCATTTTGCGGTTAATCGATTCCGACTGTACCCCAGCAATTGCCTCTGGCGTTAGAAGGTTACAACGGCATGGTGATAAGAGGAAAGAATAGACCTAAAAATAGGCGGCAATCTATTCTTGGTTGGCAACTATCCAGTACAATGCTGACTACACCACATATGGCAGGCAGTTTGTCACCCGAGAACTAGAAACTGTAGGAACTAAAATGGATAAGTTTCACTATGCTGGCCCAGTCTGTATGTTGTCGGCTGGCGATACTCCGACATATCATTAAAAACGATGCAAAACACATACTGGGGCCAAACAAGCTACCCAGAGCCTGGCCTGTATACATGATCTATTGATTTGGTGAATTCCGTGGCGGTTGGCCAAACGAAACCGCCCTCTGGTTAATCATTCAGTGGTGTGAAATCCTGGCAGTGACTTGCGCCTTTCGCAGGTGTTTTTCTTCGTAAGAACTTTTGTTTGTTTAACAAGTCCAATTGTACTGGGCATCTAGAACAAAAGTTTTATCTGAATGCTGCTACAGCAAAAAGCTTTGTTCTCGTACCGTTACCTCGACATTTGTAATGGACGACGGTGGCCTTTAATTTCCTCAGATGAACTCCGATACAATGGTAGGACTGTGCATTCGTTGTCTCAGAATTTTCTCATAGCCATTCGGGAGGTCACCACTTAAGGAGTGAATTAGCTTAAATTTCTGCGATTTTTACCGAAAAAATTCTCATCAAAGTGATGTCAGTCAAAAAGCACAAGGGTTAACTGCTGAGGCGATGGAACTCACTAAAGCCAACAACCGTGTGACTACGGTAGATAAGCAGAGCCACCGAATGCCTAAAGTCCACTCCTACCCGGTCGGTTTTAATGATCGTCGGTGGACGGATGCATTGATTATCAACACCAAGATCCTAGGTGACAACGCGCTTTCCCATCGGTTATTTGCTAAGCTTCTCATCGGACCACAGGATATTAGCCCGCAATTGCCTTTTGTCTGAAACCTTTTGTTACGAACGTTTACTCACATTTGTTATGAAATACCACCCATTGTGAAGTTTGATCTGAAAATCTTTTTATAAACCAAGCCAAAGGTTCTCCAGCAGTTGTGTTAAACGGCTGTTCCCAATCCTTTCTAAATCATGTGCAGTTTCCGATCGTGCATTCTCTGTCTCACAACCTGCCCTGACATGTAACTCAAGCTGCCAGAGCAGCGGCCGCAACCGCTTCTCATAAAGGGAAATTTGTGCAACCCAAGGAATGGTCTGTACGTAGAATCACTTCGCGAAATACTGCCGTTCGCACAATGCCATTTCAGCTAAGGGGCAGCAGATTGAAGGCGGGTTTATTCGGCTCTAATTGATAGCAAGCAGTCACTACGTTTCCATTTGGGTGGGAGAGTCAAAGGTAGTCTCTCACTTGAGAAGCACGGCGTTATTGCGCAATGCGACAACACTCCGCGGCAACGTCTCGAAATGTGAAATAGCTCGAAACCAATTCCAAATCCGACACAAGCCATCAACCTGACTTTCTGACCACTCATGCAACTCTTATTCTATCCGGCCTGTTTAGTGCATTCGGAATCTTAGTTTTGTTTCTTACATCCGTAAAAACCCTGTGTATTCATGTAAAATACATACAGACATCATTTACCGCAACTGACATTTTCAATGGAGGAGTAATAAGGAGGCTTGTTGGTTGCGCATATTTATCACTAGATCCCTCAACGCCTATGACTTTGTCGGCTATGACGGCACGGTCCGGTAGCCGAGTGGTTATGGTTTCTAGCTTCTAATCTACAGGTAGGCAGTTCGAGCCTCCGTGGGTACTGGAGACCACGCAGCGTCCCGCACACAACTGATGGCCGAGTGGTATTTTTATCCGCGGTTGATAGAATCTAGAGCCGTCGCGATAAAGCTTTCACCTCACCGGACATTTTATTGACATGAAATCATGCAGTACGGTCGATAACATAGCTGAAGGTTAAAATAGCTTGTCAGACATGTTGTGTGCCTGGTTCTGCCAGCCGCGTTAAGAGAAAAAACACCGGCTATGCACACAAACCCTGTATTCACAAATCTCAGACAAAATACAACTAACTGTGATTTTAAAAGTCACGTGCCCTCTCGATCGATCGACTACACTGCGGCAGGCGATTCCATTAGCCCCATCACATCCCCACCTTTTTTTCGCTGTTTTCATGTTGCAGGTTCCGTAAAGTCTTCCACTGCGGCAGAGCTTTCGAACTTGGACTGCGATCTTAGTTGGCTTATGTTGCTGATACGGCTTCTCGTCCCAGTTCGCAGCATGTTCACCACACCGCCTTTTCAGCCGCAATCGATAGCTTCTCTTTCTTTTCCGACCCACAGCTGCTATTCTCTTCCGACGCCATTCAGCTTTATATATCTTTAGAACATACTCCGACTCTAGGCGCTAGATTATGAGGCTACCTTGGCCCATTTTTGTGGCCTATCTTTCGCCGCCGTGAGTGCTTTCGAAGAGTGTATCGCAGACGATTAGTCGAGATTTTTTCCGGTTTCAAATGTTCGTGACCCCAGAATCGGCTTGCGATTTAATTCGTTGTTTTTGATTCGACAGTTTTGCATCAATGCATCCCTCCCCGACGTGATCCCCCTTGTTATTTACTGCAATTTCATGCACTTCTTGCTGATTTACGGCATAGGATATTCATCCAACTCGATCAGTGTCACGGAGTTCATTCACTCCTCTCTCCACAGGCGCCAGTTTTCGGACAGCAAACCCTCCGTCATCTCTAATGGAGTAGGCATCGCTACAAATGGCTGCCAGCCAAAGCAAGGCTGCTGACCGCTCATCGGGTTCTTCTTTTCCTCTGTCACCATGTTGCGTGCCTCGTTCTGCCAGTCGCGTCAAGAGAAAAAACACACCGGCTGTGCACACAAACGCCGTATTCACAAATCTCAGGCAAAGTACAATTAACTGATTGGAGGGTCAAGTTTGGACTACACGTGTGATTGGATTGCGACGCACAATCTCAATGTAATGGACTGTGGTTCACATTGAAGTGAACTTTAGTCACGACGATCACTGGGACCGTACTCAAAGCAGATGGAAATTGGGTGTTGCCTACGCAAAAACACTGCACAACCACGACACGTTTCGATGTAATTTCAATTTCGATTTCAATGGTCGCGGGATCGAGGCCTGCTGTCTCCACCTGATGAGATGAAATTACATCGAAACGCGTCGTGGTTGTGCAGTGTTTTCTGGTAGGCAACACCCAATTTCCGTCTACAATTAACTGATTTTAAAAACTCACCTGCCCACTCGATCGATCGACCACACTGCGGCAAACGATTCCGCTAGCCCCGGCTGTCGGCCCCATCACAAGACAGGTCGCGTCACATGTGTTCGGCCGTGCACCACAACGGAGCAGTGAGGGAGAGTGAAAGTCATGTCAAGGAATGCGCGAAGCGTCTTGACGACGTATTGTAGCTGCCTCTCAGGGAGGTGCCTTCGACACCGCGCAAGAATCGATGCTTCTATCAAGCTCGTTGCACCCGCATTTGTGTCAGCCAGGTACTAATCTTTACAAAGAAGTCAGGCCATATACATGCGTGCGTTGATCCGAAGCTACTTATTGCTACCCTTAGAAGAGAATTTTACATACTACCGGCGCTAGGTGAAATATTTCCGGCTTTGTCACGAGCGGTATGATTCCCAATGGTCGATCTGCTTTCCGTGTTTTTGCATGCCATATTGAATGAGGTATCGAACTGTTTGATCACATTCCTCGATTCTAATGATTGTGTTTACCACTTGATTTTCAAGGTTTCCAGTTAAGTATTACAGAAATGTCTAGTGAAAACGCTAAACGATCTGCAGACAACTTGTTTTATATCCTGCACATCTACGAATTTTCCCAAGACTGAACATAGCAGTTGCACGTGAGAAGGCTAACTTGTGCAAACAGCAGACAGTATTCCACGGACATCTTGAGCTCCGGTGGTTTGAAGCCGGATCCAATGATAACGGATGTCATGTAAACAATGCCACTCCCACTGATGTGAAGTCAGCCAGCTGAATTGAATGGTGAACTATATGGAGCGATTGTCACCTAAACTAGTCTCATTATTGACGCCCACACGAAAAATGACGCACAAAGGTAATATTGACACTGGAATCCATTTAATACACTCACAAAGTTAACTACAGGTGCCCATTCGTTTCGGTCTATTTCAGCCTCTCGAGGTTCAGCGTCACAGTAGACAGTACAGAATTGGGTTGGTGCTAA